ATGGACACAAGTGAGATATCGGGAAGGGAAATATAAAAAAACCTGTAGGAGAACACTTCAACCTCCCTGGCCACACAATAGCAGAAGTGAGGTTCTTACCCACAAAAGCTTATGCTCCCAGTACTTCTGTTAGTCTCAAAGGTGCCACAGGACCCTCTGTTGCTTTTTTCTAGATTTGGGGGGTCGGTGTATTGTGAAGAATTTCATTTTGTCAATCTTGAGCAAATAAATTCAGCTCAGCAGGTTGTTGAAGACAGGGGTGGCTCCAGGCACCAGCCAGCAAGCACGTGCCTGGGGCGGCAAGCCGCGGTGGGCGGCCTGCCAGTCGCTGTGAGGGCGGCAGTCAGGCAGCCTTTGGCGGCATGCCTGCGGGAGGTCCGCCGGTCCCATGGTTTCGGCAGCAATTCGGCAGCGGGCACGCCGAAGCCTCAGAACCGGCAGATCACCCGCAGAAACGCCGCCGAATTCATGTGACCACGGACCGCCCGCAGGCATGCTGCCGAAGGCCGCCTGACTGCCCTGCTTGGGGCGGCAAAAAACATAGAGCCGCCCCTGGTTGAAGCCATACACAGGGGGATACAGTTAGTTCTCGATGACATTAATGGTAGGGTAGGCCCTGATGATTATGTTTAGTTATGTTTAGAGAGCCGTAATTTAACTAACCCTTTGTTTTCGGTCAGAAGAACTAGGGATTAGCTGTCTGCTGAGGAGTTCTTAAATCAGACCTCAAAGCTGCTACAGAGCAATAGAGAGTTGCATGTCGATGGGACATTGCGCCTCGTTGTGACAGTTGTAAAAAAACAAGTGGGGATGCTCGTAGAGTTTTAAATTCTATCCTTAGTAGTCAGATTAGTCACAAAAAGAGACAATGTTTAGTAGACCTGACTTACACCGGTACCAATCTGTGTTTTGCGGGTGGGCTCTTGGCCGTCATGTCCAATCGTAAACCTACGGACGCGGAATTGTTAGCGGAGGCGAGAAAGTTGCATGAGAAACTGGGGTGGTCAGATCAATAAAAGGTTATGCTCAGTGACGTAGCAAAGTTTGAACAGCATTTAGGAGTTAACATACAGGTGGTGCTGTATACGGCAAAAGGCGGCTGGGGCTTTTTTAAAACGGGGGGGGGCCCAGTGTACCCCAAGACTTATTTCATACTGTTGCATGATGAGCATTACTATGGGGTTCTGGATGTAAAAAAGTTGTTCGGAGCGAAAAATTATTGTGAGTTTTGCCACACGGTGTACAGCCACGACCACTCTTGCAGGTATTGTTGCCGCCTCTGCTTGAGCGTAACGTGCTCAGACAGCATGGGCGTGCAGCTGCGGTGTCCTAGCTGTAGACTGTATTGTCGGTCCAAAGAGTGTTTAGACAGACATATTGACTATGCATCAAAAAACCAAGTTGAATGCCTGTCTAAAACTTTGTGTGATAAGTGTCAGTCTTACATGGACAAGCGGCACAGGTGTAAAGAGAGGCGGCGTAAGCAGTGTCAGGGTTTGATCACTGGTGATGTAGATGGTCATCTCTGTTTTATGGACAGCCTTAGAAAGCCCGAATCCTCAGAAAAGTATATTTTTTATGATTTCAAAAGCACGCAGGAGACTGGGTTGCACACTCCCAATTACATTTTTGTTATGTCCCTAAAGCCAGAAAAATCCTGGGAATTTAAGGGCGATGAGTGTCTTTCTATGTTTCGGGACTACATGTTCCTAACACACAGTTCCAAAGATTATGATGTGTACTTCATCGTTAGACAGTTAGTGAAGGAAAAGATGTGCCTAGAACTGATCACTCAGGGTCGTAAACTAATGTGTGTGGAAGTTGATGCCTTGGGCATTCGTTTTATAGACTCTTTAAACTTCTTGCCCGTGAAGCTTAGCAAGCTACCACAGGCGGTGGGGTTTGAAGGGTGCAAAGGGTATTTTCCACATTTTTTTAACACTTTAGAAAATCAAAATTACATGGGGCCTATGTCTGGTGTGGAGCACTATGGTGTAGAAAGCATGATGCCCAGGAAAAAAGCAGAGTTTCTCGACTGGTATTGGGACCACAGCTCTGAGGTGTTTGACTTGCAGAAAGAGCTCGCGTATTACTATCAGCAGGATGTAAAAATTTTGAGACAGGCTTGTATCCTATACAGAAAAGAGATTATGAAAATGACGGAGAAGGGAGATATAGTAGAGAAAGAGCCTGCTAAATTCACCAAGATAAAACTGTGTATAGATCCATTCCAGTACATAACACTGGCATCTGTCTGCATGGCTATGTACAGGTTTATGTTTTTGGAGCCTAACACAGTAGCTCTTCTCCCTCCAGACAACTATCACAGGCAGAAAAAGAGATATTTGACCCCATCTATTCAGTGGCTGTTGTATACCTCTCACAAAGAAAATATACAAATACGGCACACTTTACAGGGTGGGGAACTAGGTAGGCCCCTACTTTTTAGACGGTTATGCCGATGTTGATGGGGTACGCACAGCCTTTGAGTTTAACGGGTGTTTTTTTTCACGGTTGTGTCACATGTCATTGTGAAAAAGCACAAAACCGTATGACGGGGACATCCTTTGGGTTTCTTTATTACAAGACGCAGCTCAAGACCGACTATCTAAAATGACTTGGTTTTGTAGTGAGGACTCTTTGGGAGCACGAGTGGGAGGTGATGAAAGAAACAAACAGGGAGCTTGCAGACTTTTTAAACCGAGCCCAGTTACCCCAGCCTCTCGTGCCTAGGGATGCTCTTTTTGTGGGGAGGACAAACACTATCCGCCTATATTACAAGCCTAACCCCGGGGAAGAAATCCACTATTACGATTTCACCGGCCTGTACCCTTTGGTAACAAACCAAAGAATACCCTATCGGACACCCCGATATAGTTTATGACAAATTTGGACCCCTTGCAAATTATTTTGGAATTGCAAAAGGTAAAGTGTACCCCTTGTGAGGCCTCTTTTTCCCATTGTTAACTGTCAGAGTGGGTGGCAAGCTTATGTTCCCGCTATACTGAACCTATGAAGAAACCGAGCAGCGGGAGACATGCACCTATACTGATGAGGAGAGGGCCATCCTGGGGCCATCCTGGGGACTTGGTGCACGGTGGAATTAAACGCGGCCATAGCGAAGGGGTACGCGGTGGCTAAAATCTATGAAATCTGGCATTTTAATGAAAAATCTGATCAACTCTTTTCAGAGTACATAAAATTAACCTCCGCCAGAAACAAGAGGCTTCAGGGTATCCCGGCTGGTGCACAGAAGAAGAAAAACAAAATAAGTACATTAACGATTTCTACCAGAAAGAAGGCATGCGATTACGCCAACAGGAGATCAGGTCGAACCCTGCTAAATGCCAAATTGCTAAACTGTTTTTAAATTCTCTGTGGGGTAAATTTGGCCAAAGAACAAACCTACCCAACACCAGCATTGTGAGAGACCCTGACAAACTCTTTCAGTACCTGTTTTCCCCCAATTACAAGGTTTCATCCTGCGAGTTTTTTAAAGAACGGTACTCTGTCTCTGGCAATACCAATGTTTTTATAGCCTGTTTCACCACCGCTTATGCCTGCTTAAAAGTATACAGCCTCCTAGACAGGTTGCAAGAGCGGTACCTGTACCACAACACTGACTCGGTGATATTTGTGAAAAGGGAGGGTGACTGGAATCCCCCTCTGGGGGATTATTTAGGGGACCTCATGAGCGAGATCCCGCCAAATCAACACATCACTGAGTTTGTGTCGGCCGGCCCAAAAACATTTGGGTATAAGCTGTTGGGAGGAAAGGCCTGTATGAAAGTCAAAGGTATTACCCTAAACGTAGCAAACTGTGAAAAGATCAACTTTGACAGTTTGAAAGCACGGGTCTGCGAGAAAACACCTAAAAAAAGATAGAGGTGCAGCAGCCCTCTATCGTAAGAAATAAAAATCAGTGGCAAATAGAAACAAAAACCCTTAAAAAAACACAGAAAGTCATTTACAACAAGAGGGTCGTAGGAGAAGGGTTTTAAACCCTGCCCTACGGCTTTTGAAAAATGGATACAAGGTGGAAACATCCCTTTTCTGCAGTTCTTGTGGGGCCTAGCAACTGAGGGAAAAGTTACTTTATAAAAACTGTATTGGATAATGCCAAACAAACACTGTCTGTTATGCCTGAGAATATCGTGTGGTGTTACAGTTGTTGGCAACCTCTGTATAAATAACTGCTTTGTAAATATCCCTTTATCAGTTTTGTGGAGGGGCTGCCTGATGCTTTTGACAATGGCTGTTTGTTTCCTA